GTTGCTGTTGTTGTTGTTGCTGTTGCTGTTGTTGTTGTTGTTGTTTGTAAGGACAAAGCTCTACTGCTATGTTTCAGAGTGTGTCCACCATGTCTGGAGTGAGGATCAGGAGGGCGGAGCTGACGGACAGAGAGGCTGTCATTGATGGTATAGGGGATGTGTACTGGGGGCTGGACTACCTACCGGATCTCTACACCCAGTTTGTCACTCATCCGGATTTCCTCAGTTTTGTGGCTGTAGACGGGCAGGAAGTGGTAGGTTGAATGTTATGTTTGGTTTCCTTGAAGCTAGAACATAGAGGGTGTGTTAATGTATCGTACCGTAATACCATGAGCAAAGTATTTCAAATTTCCCCATTTACTTAGGTTCCTAGTAAAGGTTTTTGAATGATCAGGTACGATGAAACGACATTCAATATCTATGACCAAAAAATCCCCCTCCCCCCTCCCCCCTCCCCCAAATCTACAAAGCAACAACAGCAAAAGAGGTGAACGGTTTTCCATTTATTGGAGATGTTCTTATCGTCGTATTATAACACCCACAGATTGTATCCGCAGGTATTCCAACTTTCTTCTGTGGGCTACCGGAAGTTGTTGTTGTTGTTATTGTTGTTGTTGTTGTTGTTGTTGTTGTTGTTGCAGGTATTCCAACTTTCTTCTGTGGGCTACCGGAAGTTGTTGCTGTTTGTTGTTGGAATCTCTGCACGTAGGGTTTCACTTTTTGTTACATCATCTAAATTGTGTTGTGTTCAACGTATCATGTCCTGCTTTGATTCCCTTTCTTTTTGTATGTCGAGTCTCATAATTATAATCTCCCTGCCTCATGTTGGCGGGTCCGTGTGTTGGAAAGGGACATAGCTCTATCAAATACAAAAAGCACAAATGAATCAACAGTTGTGTCTCCTGGGCCCTCGCTCAGTGGTGTTCGACGTTTCTGAACCAGCACAATAATGAACGCCACAGACTTTCTTGTATTGCCAAACCGGGTCTGACGGCCGTCATCTGTACAAGTGACCACATCCCATCTCCTCCCTGGACTAGTTTTACATCATGACGTCACTTTGTTCAACACCCCTCCCCCCCTCTCCCACCCCCTCCCCTGTCTAAGATAGTCAATTGTCTCCTCGACAATGGGAGCTGCCTTAGTCAAAGACTTTCCACTGTCTTTTGGCTTCCGGTTCCGACACGGATTTGTTCTCCCCCTCCTGCCCACCCAGCAGTAATGTCACAATGGGTACCTGACTGGGAGTTGGGGAAGTAAAGGCGGCGTGGAAAGGAACTGGCCACCCAGCAGTAATGTCACAATGAGTACCTGACTGGGAGTTGGGGAAGTAAAGGCGGCGTGGAAAGGAACTGCTCACCCAGCAGTAATGTCACAATGAGTACCTGACTGCGAGTTGGGGAAGTAAAGGCGGCGTGGAAAGGAACTGGCCACCCAGCAGTAATGTCACAATGAGTACCTGACTGGGAGTTGGGGAAGTAAAGGCGGCGTGGAAAGGAACT